GCTCAAAAGGGTGCTTCTACTAAATATTGAGCAAAGGGTCTGAATACTTATGACCCTGTGATATTTCAGTTTTTCTTTTTTAATAAGTCTGCAAAAATGTCAAATTCTGTGTTTTTCTGTCAATATGGGGTGCTGTGTGTACATTAATGAGGAAAAAATGAACTTAAATGATTTTAGCACATGGCTGCAATATAACAAAGAGTGAAAAATTTAAGGGGGTCTGAATACTTTCCGTACCCACTGTATATTCACTAATCCCTCTGTCTGATGGTTTTCCTAGATGCAAAGTGTTGATATCCTAGAAAGTTTTGAGGGCACCCTCTGCACTTCTTGTACAAACCAGAGATTAGCAGCCATTTGCTTGGGAAAACAAAAGCTATGCAGTTTATTATTTCAAACACCACTCCATCACGTGAGCTGTCTGTCCAGCTCCTATTAAGTATAAGCACATACTGTATGTGTATAATAACATCACATGAGATACGACAGTGGTTGAATTATCAGAAAATACTATCTGTTTCCTTTTTTGTGGAACATGGTTATACATCACTGGCATAAGAAAACACTGGTATCAAATGTGTTGTGTCAACAGAGCAGCATACCTTATTCCAGGCCCAAACCCTGAGATGCAATACAAAAAGATGGCTCGTGCAACTTCAGAAACTGGCTGGAATTGACAACATAACTGTCAATTCAGCCTCTCATACCTGGTAGAGCTGTTAGCACCAGTCCAAAAGTTACACCCAGTTAACAGAAAAAGCTTTCCTGAAAAGAGAAGCCTCTATGGCATCAAGGTGCCACTGTCTAGAACCAGCTGATCAAGTCTATAAAACAAAAACTAGGTACTAGGTGTTCAAATTAACTGCCTGTGTTTATGATTACATTTCAGATTTTGGGGTTTAATTGCTTGTTTTAAATATGTAACCCAGGGCTCCCAGTAAAACGGGACTGGATTGAAGAGGGAAGGGTGGGAAATTTGTATGAACCAGTTGAACTGCTTAACTGCCACTTATCCCTGCCAAACCCAGCAGTCACATGAGTGGCACCTTGGTTGCTACCATTGTTATCAGACACATGGCATTAAAGACAAAGTGTGTAAACCCACCTGGAAAAGTTGGCATCCCTTCCATAGCTCAACAGCTCAACAAGATGCAGTATGCATACATTTGAATGCAACTGAGCAGCTCACAGTGTATTACTACTGTGACAGCACAAATATAAATAGTTAAAATTTTGAAATGCTACAGTACAATATCAAAGCATACTGTGTTCTCAATATAGATATACTTACAATGGCCTTTACCTCACCTCCACACTTTTAAAGTATCATAAAGCACACACCAGCAAATGCAGCTACCTCTGTGTTACCTGTAATGATGATTTTTAATTCTTGTTTTTATTTTATTCCACACTCCATCACACCACCATCACTAAATTCAAAGGCAGTTACTCTCAACAACTCCTATTTTTTATGTGGTGGGGTGGGGTGGGGGGTTCTGACTATAAAGGAAAAAAAACTTAACATAAAAAACTATAAGGGTTTCAACAAAAACAACAAATACCAAACCACAAATAACTAGAATAGAAAAATGGAAAAATGCAGCAACAGAGGAACAGAAGGCACATGAGGAAGAGAAGCGTTGGACCTCCCTTTTGGACAGTGTCATAACTGGCAGAAAATGGGAAGTTAAAGAAATTGTCCACCATTTTGGCTGCACTGAACAAGGGGGGGGTGATTAGCTCCAGAAAGTCCCTGTGTTTGACTGCTGCCAGCTGAAAATGTTACAAGAAAAGATCCTGCATTCAAGATGTTACTTAAATAAAATACAAAAGAGGGGCAGCAGCAAAATAAATTTAAAGTACCAAAAGTAAAAGTACTCATTATCGAGAATGGCACATTTCACATTAATGTATATCATATTATTGGATTACATGTATTATTATGCATTATTGTGATCATTGCAGTTGGCAAAGGAGGAGCTAAATTGAACTATTTATATGTTTAGAATATGAATAACTGCTGAGTAGCTTCTGAATTTCCCAGCAAAATAAAAGTTTAAAAATGAAAATACTTGAGTATAGTACTTGAATAAATGCACTTACTTACTTTGCACCTCTGCTAATAGTAGTAATTTTATTTTATAATACTCTTTCTACTGCTTTAGCACTGCCAGTTCTCATAAGTTGCAAGTACTTGTGGTTTTGTTTCCAGGCTCAGGCAATCATACCTACAACACCTACAGTATTTCTATGTCCTGAGCTAACCCTCCCAGACAGTCATAAATCCTGTCTGCTTTTGAAAGATTTTATAGACTTGAACCTTAGCCAAAGTCCCAAGGCTCATCTGAACCATCCATCTAACCTGAACCATTCAATGAGTACAGCTTACTGGAGGCAGTACTCAGCATGTTGTGAAGGTTCCTGTGTTCTACATCTGCCAAAAACACCACAGTGAGAGATCTCAAGCAGCAGTAATAAAAAGACAAAATATAGGCAGAAAACTGGGTCACTGCAAACACTAAGAGGAAGTCAGTTAAGCTGTGATGTTTAGTTGAAAAAAATATGACAAAGCATGACTATAGGCAAGCAAATGGCATCTTATACTCCAACAGACCATATATATAAGATACAGTGTGTAGTCTTTATGTCTGTGAATGACTTATTTAACTTTTGAGCATATCTCAATATTTAGATTGAATTTATATGGCTGCATATAAATGACTATTTAATATTTAATAACTTTCATATAAAATGTGTATGTTTTATTATTAATACACATTACAGTTACTGACTTTTAGCAATGCAAAATTCAGCCCAACTATTCCCATACAATAATACCATTGTTTGTTTTTTCTCTGTCCCAAACAGACAATGAACAAAGCGTGGCCTGGATGCTAGTACTTTTCCACAAGGACAATATCATTAGTTTCCTCTAGGGAATGAGGGAGGCTGTGAGTCAAGTGGGAGTTGTTGGAGGAACATGCATAATGTGTAAGAGAACTGGAATGATATATGACAAATAAAATTCAAAATACTTTAAATTACAGCCATGGGCGCCGTTAGGGCGGGGGGAAATTAGGACGATTCTAAGGGCCCACAAACTTTAGGGGCCCACAGAGACTAGCTTTGGGTGAGGTAGAGGGCCCAACTTCAAATTTTTTCATAGGGCCCAAAAATACTAGCGGCGCCCCTGATTACAGCACAGTAAAACTGTGTGTTGTGTCACTGGCAGTGATGTAAAACAACACCTATGGGAGTTGAAATCCTGGCCGGCAGCTGTAATACACTTAGAAGGAAACGTCATTTGTTTTGTCATACAGGAGGAGTATCCATTACAGTAGATGAGTGTTATTACATGACACCTACTGTATGTATCTGTACAACTTAAATAAACAATGATGTAAAATGTGTTCAGATTGTTTGCTTAAGTAAAAGTAGCAATTCCAATCAATAAAATATTTCATTTACAACTAAATGTGTTTAAAGTACTCACAAGAAAATATGAAAAAAAATTATAAATACAAAAAAAAATATAAAATTACTGATACAGGTTAAACAAACAATAATCCAATGGTGTCCTCTCTCTATATCGACTTCAGTACTTTTATCACAAAATCTTTTTCAATTCACTGAACTCAGTCATCTTATTGTACACCTAAAAAAGGAAACTGGTGTCAGCTCAGTACAAGTTCAGTAAACACCACAAGGTTTTTTTTTTTTTTTAATCTTCAGTTACTCATTTATTTGTCATATGCCTGAAACATATAATGAGGCGCAGCACTTTTCAAGCAAAGGTGAATTAATGTCATGCTCTCATTCTCAGTCACTGACACTTGTGGATAAGTTAATGATAATCACATCTTCCTGCACATCTTCCCATCACACTATCATGAGACAAATGCTGGGTCAAGCGAGGAAGTGAAGGTCAGAATCTCAGAACACACTAGAGGGACGTAGCCCATTACTAATCAAGTTAGATATTTGCATGCTTACTAAAACCTGAGAGGAGACGAAAGCAGTTATCTCAGCTTATTCCCAACTGCTTCCCACACACTGCCCGCTGGAGTGTGCATGCTACATTTTAACTTGTTGCAGGACATTACTGATATGAGTCACTATCTAAATGGGAATAGAAATCATGGCCTCGAAATGCCACTGACTAAAAGAGATTAATTCCACAGTGTTGACTGTGGCACTGTTACGGGCATAGCGTTTTAGCATGACCGTTAGCATTATGATCCTGCTAGGTTTTTGCATGTTGGCCTCTGTGCTTGAAGTGTATTTTCATGAAGTAATGTTTTATCTACTCTTATTTTGTTATGGAAAGTTAAATAGGTGCAAAGTTTGGTTGATGGATGATAAATGGATGTGTGGAGCTACACTGCTAACAAGTGGGGATTTGTGACCCACTGTTTCAGCTTTTTGATTGGTTGAATCTTGTGTAAAGAAGCCTGAAATCAACCAATCCTGTTCTGGCTCTGAGCAGATTAACACCGCCTTGCTGGGTTTTAGGTAATCCTGGTCGACAACAGAAGCCTCAAAAACACTGAATATAAAAAACACCAAATGGGAGGATAACTTTGTTGCTGTCCAAACCCAGCATGAGTTCCTTCAATACAGCCAGAGTTTTAAAAACATCTTAATCACTACATACCGAAAAAAAATTACCCCTGAGAAACAATGCAGTTATTCAGAAGTTGCAAAATTTGTTTCACTAACAACATTACCGGAAGATAAATTGCAAAGCTAATCTGGTATGAATTAAAAATCACATGAGTAAAGAATGTTGCTGGTGTTGCAATATTCTCAAGTGCACCATGAATAAACAAATTGTGTTACTTCCCAAACCTTTCACAGCACATTACATAACAAATATATGTTTGTGTTTATATATATATATATATATATATATACACACACACACATACACACACATACATATATACATATACACACACACGTTTGTTTTTTCTGCTGCTAATTAAAAATGACACTGCACATTTTTCCTTTTACCTTCACAGAAACTTTATTTTGTCTCCAAAAATAAAATCCATAAAAATAACAATGTATATTCTTTCAGAAAGAAAGATAAGGTTTTAAAGCTCTTCCCCCCCGCCCCAAAAAAAAACAACCATCACTTTATCTGTATCTCTTACAGCATGTTATGCTAAATTTATGCTTGACACTGAAAAGGACTGGTCTATCATATTAGGATGCTGACCTTTTGACTCCTTACACTGTGGAGAAAAAAAGTCCATAATCTAGAAGAGCAGAAATGTTATTCACCTTGCTGAATGGTCTTTGATAATGTGATGAGTAAGCTCATCCAGTGTTTTAGTAGTCCAGCTGCAGATGTCTGAAAAGTCAATTCTGCTTTGCATCATCATTCTCTGCTGATGTTTCACATGGCAAAGTTTATTTATCACATTTTTAACCAATGTGGTCTTCACTGCACAAAATTTTCAAGAAATAAAACTAAACTCTTTTTTGTGTTTTTTCCTTTTATCACATCAACATTGCACACTAAGACACATTTGGTAGGAGGTTTATGAAAGATACAAGGTGACATTTCAGCACGACAGTTCACAAAAAGGTACAATGACACACAGTAGATACGCAAGAGATAGCTTAAAGGAAATGGATAAAGTAGGTGATCCAAGGAGCCCTGAATTCTATTCCACACAATGTTAACACAATGCAAGAGACACACATTTTAAAGATGTGAAAACAAGATATGAATAAGATATGACTGACAGAATCGTGAGCAGTGGAGTTTTTTGGTATGATACAATATTAATACATAAAAAAGCAGTATGTTGCTTTTGAAATCTAACAAAGAAAATACACACACACACACACACACACACACACACACAAGTAGAAAACGCAATACATAAACAATCAAATAATAGCAGTACAGCTCTGGATGGAGCTGGAATTTGGTCATCACTGACAACACACTGAACAGCCAGTCAAAGTGAAAAAGTACCTTTTTTCCCCCCTCTTACTTAGTCTTGGAGAAAAAAAAATATTTCAAAAGGGATCATTTCTCATTTTTGCTTAACTCCATTTTCTGCACTGCAAACCATACTGTATAACTGTAAGCTTGACAAAATAAACCAATTGTAAATACCTTCACTAAGCTAAACCAAAGCAGTAATTAGTGTATAATGTCCACCTTAAATTTGCCATGATACACCAGAGAAACAATATTTCTTAACACTTAAAATTACTTGTTGTTCCTTAAACATAGTTTTGTTCCCCCCATAAAAAAAATACAGGCTTTGATATCACACATGAGGACAGTATTAGGCTGTTTGCCAACAACCTCATGACATGTCTAGGGCACAGTATTATTAAACAATAATCACATACTCGATGTTCTGTTAAAAGTGTAGTAATAATCATAGTATTCAGCAGCAGAAACTTGTACAAAACTGTCATGGTTTATACCGCAACATAGGTTTGTGTTACTACAGACATAGCATCTATGCTACAGCAGCAACTAAGCTTCTAAGGTCACTGTCAATAAGAGCAGAGAGGGACAAGTGCATACATCAAATAAGGCAAATATTAAATTCACTTAAAAGTACTAATATTCCAAAAATCCCAGATATTCTGAATGCAGGATTAACAACAAATGCTGTACAAAATGGACACGCCAGTGCCAAATGAGCTTCAGTCATAAAAGAGTACAGTTTTTCATGTGGAGAAGTTTTAATCATTTCAAAGAAATGATTATAATAAGCTTAGATCCCTGTTAGAGCTACAAAAAAACAATTAGAGATATCTGTGAAAAGTCAACCATTTGTAACATTCAAACCCCCCATATAACCTCCACCTTCAAAAAAGCCTCCACATCAGTCCCCATTAGTTCAGTGCAGAGTTCAACTACAGTGAGAAATAAACAAACATGAAGATACCCACAGAGCAGACACATAACAAGCCCAAGTTGAGGAGAAGTTTAACTCTAGGTGGCTCATACAGTAATTCTGAGATGACTCTTGCATCCTCCTGTGCCACACTTTTCTGAGCACTCTTTGTTCCTTCTTTGTATCCACAAAACCAGTCCAGTAAACACATGCACCTGCTTCTCTCCCCATTCACATGGCAGCCTTCCTCTGCTCGGATCATCTCATTTCCAAACCGTTCTGCAGGGGTGGTAGCAGGGGATGTGTCTGTACTCGGCGTTGCTGGGTCATGGTCAGTGGACAGTACCAGGAGTTTGACATCTGCCCCATCCAAACAATTCTCCTTCCTGACATCTGGGGGCATTTCCTTTTGGAGGCCTCCATTGCCATTACAATGACTCTTGTCAGTAAGCCCGTAAATTTTCTCTTTGTCCTTTTTGGGAACCATTTCAATGTTGCGGAGCCCCCAGAAAGTGGTAGTGCGTATTTGCTCCTTATCTGGTGGAGAGGTGCAGAGGCTGACCACGACTGCCACCAGCCCTGAAATCCAGAACAGCCCGGCAGCAAAATACATGTAATGAACATGAACAATGAATGCAGGCCTATCATCGGGCTGGTCACAGCGAGGCTGGCGATAAATGAAAGCTAAGATCAGCCGTATGGTACCTAGTGCAAAACCTGTCATGCCTCCCCAGAATGCACCTTTCTCATTGCACCGGTTCCAAAACACACCTAACAGGAAGAGGACAGCAATTGGTGGAGTGAGGTAACCAGCAACTTCCTGGATGTAGAGGTATGTCTGTCCACCTTGCATTTCAATAATAACAGGGACCCAGGCAATGCTGATTGCCACCATGAACACAACAAACAGGCGGCCCACAATGATCAGCTCATGCTGGGACGCCTCCTTCCGAACAGTTTGATAGATGTCCAGGGTGAAGATGGTGCTTGCGCTGTTAAAAATCGAGTCAAGGTCACTCATCAGGGCAGCAATCATGACTGCCATCATCAGACCCCTGAGACCTACAGGCATCACTGCCATGACCAGGCGCGGGTAGGCGATGTTTGAGCAGCCAGCCTGAGAACCACACACAGCCATACAGTGCTCTGGTCCAATGCAGGCAATCTCATCTGCAAACATGATGCGAGAGATCATTCCTGGAATGACTATGACAAACATGGGCAGGATCTTGAGAAATCCAGCCATGAGTGTTGAGCCCTTAGCATGAGCAATGTTCTTTGCCGCTAGTACTCTCTGAACAATGACCTGATCAGCACACCAGTACCAAATAGACGCAGGGGTCTGGCCAAGAATGAAGCCTGGCCAAGGTATGTCTTCATCCAGAGGACCTCGAAGGATACGTAGTGAGTTTGGTTTAGGCTCAATGCGACAGGAAGGCGAATAGGTAAAATTTCCAGTAGCTATTATAGCAGAAACATTGGGAACTGCCTGCATGTATTTAGTTCTGACACCCTCTAGTCCACCAACTTTGATTAGGCTAATAATGGTTAAGGTTAGAGCGCCACAGATCATCAACACCGCCTGAAGGGCATCAGTGTACAGTACTGCCACCAGTCCACCAGTGACAGTGAGCACTGCAGTCATACTGATGAGCAGAACAATTGACACATAAAGGTTCCAACCCAGGGACTCCTGAATAAAAAGAGCTCCAGCATACAAGTCCACAGACAGCTTGGTAAAAATGTAAAGCATCACAGACAAGAAAGCAAAGTAAACCTTTAGCCTGTTGCCACCATAGCGTTTCGACAGGTACTCAGGCATGGTGTAGATTCCTGAGTGGATATACACGGGGATAAACACCCAACCAAGCAACTGCAGAAGCAGAAGTGCATTAAATTCCCATGCGCCAACAGCAAAGCCGCTTGCTGCTCCTGATCCAGCCAGGCCTATGAAATGTTCACTGCCAATGTTACTGACGAAGAGTGATGCACCTACGACTATCCAATTCATGGAGCGTCCAGCCAGGAAGTAGCCACTCACAGTGCTGCGATTGGCTTTCCACATGGCCAAAAACCCGATGACTAGTACCAGGACAAAATACAGTGCTACCACAGATATGTCTGCGGCTTCCATTTTAGGACCCATTTCTACAGGTTACTTTTCAAAAAATCTCTAAGAAGCTCAGAACTGTATGTATCCTTCCAAAGATGGGAATGTAAATGCTCAAATGTTATGGATGTAATTAAACCATAAGCAATGGAAGTGCTCTGCTTTGGTTTGCTGTCTGGATGGAAGCTGTGGTATCCACCATCAGGTCAGATTCACTAGGTATGCTTCAGAGGGGGTTATCCACCAGCACTGAGGTCTTTTTAGATTTAGAAGAGTATGTTGTAGGCCTGAAAAGCCTTGAGTTAACATTCCTGCAAGACAGCAAAAACAAAGAACACCTCATTAGAGCCATGATTTGAGAGGGAAAAACTATTAACACAAATGCTTGAAAGAAAAAACTGAATATCATAATTCCTAATATTATCAAAATCACAGATATAAGAAATGGTGAGATGTGACATCACTCTAAACCATGTACAGATTAATCAGATTGTTAATTTGGTTTTGCAACAGCAGTATTTCTCCAGCAACGGTCATTAACACGAAGGGCTTAAGTAACTGTAAATGCTTACGAGACCTTAATAACATTATGTAAGAAATCAAGAAGAGTCAAGGAGGAGTAAAAACATGTATCCAACAACTAAACAGTTCCTACATTACCTAGTAAGTAGCCTGACATTCTTCATATTGAAAATCTTGCGAAATTACAACCATGCCTGCATGAGAGCAGTACCAAGCATTTTTTGGAAAATGCTGAACACAGCCAATCTTTTCTTGAACATGATGGATGCACAAGCCCACAGGACATTATTCAACCAAACAAAATAATTGTGAATTTTACAACAGCATACCATAATCCATAAACAGATTTGTTACATAATCATTACCAAATTTAAACCAAACCCCAGCCTAGAATGAAAATACTATGTGCAACATGCTGTACAGTACAATAACGGCTAATTAGATGGGTCAAATTAAACCTCTGTGTCAGCAAACAGCAATATGCACAAAGATGTGTAAGCACATCTGTTCTGTGTCAGTCTCTCTCTCTCTCTCTCTCTCTCACACACACACACACACATTTGGATGTCTGGCCTCTCTTGAGGTTTCAGCCTGCCATGCATGGCAGAAAATAACCCCACACCTTCATCTTCACAACCAGGCTTTATACATAACCATCCTTCTCTCTAAAAGAAGTCTTTGTTTTCATTTTACCATCTCATCATCAACAAGGGCTACACTCCATGTGCTCACCATAAACTAAACTGGCCAAGAGAATCTGGCTCTTGAAATACAGCAAGGCTGTTCAACAGAATAACATAATTTTATTTTCATGTTATATAATGCAGGATTCAAAGATAATCACCACCATCCCAGTGTGCCAGTAATACAGCACTCAACTAGCTCACTGCCAAAATAATAAAATATGATGTTTTTATTGCCACTGGGACAGTAACTGGAGGATATGTATTTTTGGGTTCAATAAAACAACAGGTGCTATAGGGTAATTCAGTTTCTTTATTCTACAAACAAAACATATTGAAGAGCAAGACTTTGGTACTGCAAACTTTCTTTGCAACTAAAAAAGTTCTAGAAATCTGAAGCATTTTCATTTCAAACAAAAAAAGGATACTTAACTCCTTTTTCCTTGTTTGCATGTTTTGGTTGCTCGCCTATAAACTTTGCTGTCAGCGCACAGGATTTTTGTTTCTGTGGTTTTGAATATGCGTGTGTGAGCTCTGCTACAACAAAGTTCATTGTAAGAGTGTACCAGGTTCAAGTTCAAAAGCCAAGAGAGAGAATGGAAAAGCAGCCCTGGCATGCCTGAAGACCAGAGCAGTCATTTAACTAAACTTGGCATAAATCCCACTAACTGTCAAAAGAAAGTTGTTAAACAACATCCTGTCTGCAACTACAATATAGACTCTTGCACAAGCGCACATAGCTTAAAGGGCATTACTACTGTAAATCCTCCACCTGTGTTAATGAATATACTATCAATTCTCTGATGCGTGTTGAGTCGTCAAAGGAACAGCAGCAGAATGGATAGGCCCAATCTACGGTCAGGAAATTTCTAGAACAGTCATCTCATTCATCCCCACTGCAAAATCTGCGCATCTTCAAGGAGCTTGTATCGATTGTTATTATCCATCTTAAACGCACCGCTGGATTGATATATGGCTGTTTAACACTACATGTAAGACTGGCACGTAATGTTACTCAGGTGTTTGAAGCATTTCTGCCTGGCTGATGTCAGTGTTCAAATAAAACGCTAGGTCAGTGACAGTCAGCTGAGATATTTGACAGAGGAAATCAATGGTAGACCAAACGTCATTAGCGAAAACACAGCTCCGCGGTCTTAAACTTATACATGAACGCATAACGTTATTTTAAAGGATACAAAAAGGGTTAGTCGAGTACTCAGGTAGCAGCCTCACACTATCTCACCTGCTCCACTCTTAAAACACTAAACACTAAACAAATACGTTACCTCGTAAGTGTTAGCAAAATGCGCTAAAGATGCTAAAATGCGTCATAGAAATGTGTATGAAGAAGATGCGGCGCCCTCCGGCATACACGTCCCCATCCAGGATCGGTGCGTCGTCGTACCACACAGTGCAATAATGTGACAAATGAGGAGTTTGCAGCCCATGAACTCCTCCGTGTCTTCAGTTCCGCTGGAGCTGCGATGCACGTCTGATAGCACGCTGCCTCTCCTCCTTAAAGGAACCAGTTGCGCTCCACGCCCCACACGTGTAGCAGACCCGTGATGCGTTCGGGTGCACAACGCCTACTGGAAATTGCCGCAGCTAATAATGCAGGACTCTTGTAATAACCTGCATCATACCGCATTAAAGAATGAGAAGGGCACGGGTATTCGTTCAAACACATACGCACTTTCAAGTGCTTGATTTAGATGAGGAAAAGCACTTTGTTTTAACGTATTTTAACTTAAAAGAACAAATCATTTGCATCTACTGTATAGGCTAAGTTCAAACTGATGGGAATTAAGCAGTGCCGGCTCTTCTCAACGTTATAATAGGCTACTTCACTGAAAATGAAGATTATGTTTGTATAGATGTTTGTCTGTACTGCCATTGACTGGAGAGAGTTGTCCAAGTTCTTATTAACCCATTGACTTCTTGTTTTTCTTTTCAAACAGTAAACCTCATACTTCCCCTAGGCAATTCCTGCAACCACAAATAGTCAAGGTGGCTAATTAACCAGAAATAGGCTATCACACATCTATAAGCTGCTGCAAGTCACAGAAACTACCGGAAGCCTACTCTGACTCATTAGACATCTATAATCAGATTTTAAGATGAAACTTGAACCATCAAGAAACCACCAGCTGCAGCCTCATTGAATAACAATCTAGCTACGGATTTTTATTTTATTTTATTTTCATTGCCTTTTTCTTGCAGCCTCACTTGAATTTAAATTCGTTCTGCATGATAAGCATGATCATAAGAGACACAAATTTATACATACTGATCTTTTTCAACAAAATGTGTTTTCATTTTACAAGTGACCTGGCACAGATGAAGCAATTCATTGGGGAGCATCAAGCTACTGGTTAAAAGGAAATGGTTGTCATTTTAGAGCAATAGGAAGAAATCCACAACTCGAAGTCCAACTACCACCACTATCACATGGGCAGAAGGTCTTGTGGGTTGGTTGTTTAAAGTTGCAACATAACAATGTTTCTCGTGGTGGAGTATTAAGTATAGAGTTGACTCTAATAACACAAGAAATAGCCTAATATTGTTATATGAAATATGAAGGAAAATCTCTCTGAGCTGTGGGTGTCTGGCTTCATAGTCAGACCCCAAACACAATTTTCATCTTATGTGTATATGTCACATGAAGTTGCACAGTTTTCCATGTTTTCATTTATCATTTATATTTCTATACACTGTGATTTAACACTTAAATGTGTATTACATTCGGATATCTATTTACTGGATGGATATCTGAGCATGTGTGCAGGTTTACTTTACAACTGAAGCTGTCCAATTAATTTGGTCCTTTGTGTGCATGCCAGGCAGGGTGCATAATGTAGTGTTTGCCTATCTAAGAGGTTAGGTTTGTAGTAGCACGGAAAAAAACCTATCACTTTAACTACCACCAGTACTACAACTGCTGCTAACTTAACACTATTAAAGCTTAATGACTGCTATAATAAAAGTCACTCTTCTACAAACATAAAAAACAACTGTCCGCTGAAGCGTGGTTGACCTGCAGCAAAACATCCTGCAAGGCAGAAAAGGCTCTACGTATTGCGAGGGGAGGGAAACAGTAAATTTCCATTCACTGCGCTGAACAGATATGTTGGAAATTTCCATTTGATGAAATACTACATTTCCCAAGAAACCTTGCGTGTCACAGTTGCGTATTTGTTGCGCGACAGTAACTGTTTGGTATATCCGTAGATGGATAAGATATACCGGGGGCCCGTTTCAAGAAGGAGGTTTTGTTGAAACTCTGAGTTTGTTAAACCTCCTTCTTGAAACGGGTTAAGATAGGAACCTGGAAAAGTGTTTACATACTCTGGAATAAATTCATTACACTTGCCTACAGCTGTTTAAAGCCGACCAGGTTAGAAAAATCATGTGAAAATTCATCAAGGACAATTCCCAGCCTTCCAAAAATGACTGCATCAAAAGAATATAGATTTTAAAATAGACCTAATCTAAAAATGTATTAATCTATCCTATTGCTATTTTTTCATATGTGTGGATAAATGAAAGAATAACTTGTTCTGGTCAGATCACAGCTCAACTGATAGCAACTGCAGCACCTGGCTCTAAAATTGCCACCACTTTAATCTTGAGAGGTAGTATTAGCATGATTTGATTAATTGCTATGCATTTTGCAGTGAGATATTGATCCTGTGTGGGCCAGATCTCATCTCCAAAGAGCCAGATGTTAAGTGTTGTAAGTTACATAGAAGCATGGATGGATTCCTGAACAGGGCTACTGAGCACAGGCCCAGCTAGGGACCCAAGAGGGCAGTGGGGCCTGGGCCAGAGCTTCTTTATGAGGTAACAGTTAATATTTCTTGCTGGAAAAAACTACAACTAGATCCAATACAGCTACAAACAGACTCAAAATGGCCACAGAGAGTTGCAAAATTACCACAAAGAGATGCAAAACCATCCCAAAGGATGAAAAACAACTATAAAGAGGCAAAAAATGGCCATAAGGAGACACAAAGGCACTGCAAAGAGATACTGAACTACTAAAATAAGATGTAAAAGAAACACAAAATGACCACAAACAGATGCAAGGCTACCACAATTAGATGCAGAACAACTATAAAGACTCACAAAATGACTGATGGTTCCATATAGAAGGGGTGGGCAGCCTTTTTTCTGTCTGTGCCCAGGGTCCCGTTCTCTCATAATTCATCCATGGGCAGAACCTTGTAGTTAACTCAAAAGGTGCCTTTTTAGTGTGGTTCCAAACATGGTCCACAGAAATGCAGCCAACACAAATGTACAACCCCAGTGAGCATCCTCAGTGTGCACTCTTTCACACCAGTAGAGGTGATAAGTGATCTATCTCAGAATGTTTCCATGACCACATTCCACACATGTTGGTCTCACAATAAGGTTTTTCCTTATATTGTAAGTGTTGCTGGAGTGTTGACCTTTACAGATTGTTTTCCCTCATTAGCATCTCAGGCTGCAGAGCCAGAGCTTTCTGCTGCCAGCAACAGCAAAAACTATACCAAGTATAACAGGACCTGGTTCCAGTGCCAGTCAGGTTTTTTCATGTGACATTTTCTGTCAGTTGTAATAACTTGTCAGTGGTGTTTCTGCTCATACATTTACATTTAGCAGAACTTAACATCCACACTTGTGATAACATTACATTATTTTTTTTATAAACTGTGTGGCCACTTAATTTCATCAGTGCATTATTCTATTATATATATAGTCTTATTTATGTATATCAGGTTCAAAACTATCATAATTCCTGCACTGTGTATAAGCATTTAAAAGACTGAATGCACATTACACTAGAACAGCTAAGAATATAAAATGATCATGTTTTCCATTTATGCCATTACAGCTCTATCTGATAAATCTGTATAAATCTGTAGGCTGTTTAGATTCTGTTTGATTCCTCTTGAACACCAAAGTTAATGCTCAGCCCTGGATGTTGCACTCACATATTTAGGTTGGGATTTATCAGCAGGGCAACAAGCTGTAGATTTTAGTCCCAGTTCCACATATAAGAGCTGATTGTATTTAGTAGTGCATTGGTGAAGCATTAGGTAGCTTAAGTGCCACTCGCTGGTGCGGCCATAGGAGTAGGTTGAAGTAGCCATGCATCACAGCAAGACCACCAAAGCACCAAAATGCTTTTAACTTTTTATTCAAGATTAGACATTTTTATCTTCATCTGGGTGCAGCTGTTTATCCAAATTCAGATAGTGATATTTTGTGAAGAATACCTAAAATGTCAAGTGACTGTTTAAATGTATCAAGTTGCTGTAGAGCCACCCACAGATAAAACTGGCATGGAATGTCACAGGATCACTTGGAGTTGCAGATGTCATATAAATTTGCACAGGGTATAAGAATGATGGGAGTTTATGTTAGGTGGGCAACACTTAGAATAATTTAGCAATATAGTATCAAAAAACAAATCAATGTGAATTAGTTTCTTCTTGAATAAAGGTCTAACTCTTCAATAAATATCACTGAAATTGGTTTAGCAGTTTCTGAGATATCTCTGAAACTAACAGACAACCAGTGGAAACAGAGTTCCTCAGTGGTAACAGTTAACTTATTGTTTTCCCCTCCTTGTTTAGCTTGTTTGTGGCTGAATAGAAACACTAGTGTCTTTTTACACAGCATTTGTGTGTACAAACACATAGGGCCAGAGCTGCTGTTTTGTGTCACAGAGCATTTTATTGTTTGGTTACAATAGCTGAATTAACAAACTTGGATAACAAGTGTCACAGGGCTAGTTATCAAATATTTGTCTTACCTTGTGGTTATTTTGTGTTATATAAGCTTCAATTTTCCAGAAATGAGCTTGTTAAGAGGTGGTATTAGTAACTGTCTGATCAGGATTAATGCAGATGGTATGAATGATCAAATAGGCTGCCACACAACGGTGCTAGTCAAGCCACCAGGAGCAATTTGGGGTTCAGTGTCTTGTTCAGGGACACTTAGGCATGCGGGGAGACCGGGAGTCAGACCACCAACTTGCTAGTCAGCAGATAACTGCTCTACCTCGTGAGCCATAGCCACCCCGGTATTATCCATTCAAAATGTTCATGTTGCTGCTGCTACCACCACTACTAGTAGTAGTGCTACTACTTTTGTTGTATTGTTGCTACTACTACTACCATTACCTACTACCAAAATTCAATTTTTCTGTGTTTACAGGATTACTCTAATTTGATATGTTCCCAAAATAAATTCAGATGTTTTATAAACCAAATCTATGAAGACTGGAAGAATTTCGTAGTGAAAAGAATATTTTGCAAAAGCTTAGCAAATGACAAAGATAATCCAGGTAAGAAATATTAGTAAAATATAAAGTGCTTTACAAATGGTCATACAGTACGTAGGTACGATCCACACCAGAAGCTAATAAGCTCTTTGCACAGCAAAGCCTTTCTAAATTTTCCAGAAAGTGGTTTTATAACATTGTCCAATATAACAGACAGGCTGGACGAAAGATGGAAGCTAAATGAACACATGAAGGCTAGATAGGATTACTGGATATCCACTTTATATCCTGTCAGTGCAGAAATAGAAAATAGTGGGCAGGTGCTTTTTAAGACCAGGGCTTCTTACTCTGTCTATACAGAGCATTTCTATTTTTAGACATACTTTCCATCGATACTGTATTATCTCTTTGAGTCTATTAAAAAACTGTCTTCTAAAAGCAGGTCAGGATTCTCCAGTGGATGAAATGAGTGAAGACCATGTTAAAACCTTTAAGAGATCCTATAAAAAGGCTATATAAAATATCACCATAGTTGAGTACAGCAAGTTGAATTTATTACTGATTTTATGGTCAGTAGCTGCTTGCTGATTGTTAGAAGCCCTGTTTGATATCCATATTACACTAAAAGGCCTATACATGCTTTTTTTGTTATTACTTAATCAAATGAATTGTCATGAACATAAAGTCAAACTAAATGGTCTGTAAATATGTTGCCCTATTACACAGGCGTTTGTACAGTCGTTTATCCACTAGTAGCCTGTTTAGTACTTATAACATTAAACAGAACATCCAGGACAGGTAGGGCAGAACATATGAGTGAAGAGGACAACTTCAGACTGACCTCTGTTTGACTTCTGTCCTGCCTCATATTGTCAACATATTCCATGAACTTTAGAATGAATAAAGAGAAGAATTACCTATATTTGCAATTTCATAACTGCCTGTGTTGAATAAATACTATAAATGCCAGACATTTTGTCATCAGTGAATTATCAATGCTTATGTCCCTTTGTCCCAGTAAAACACTTATCTGGACACATTGAATGTTGCTGAAATGGCTTTTTGGCAAAGGGTGAGGCCACATTAAGCACACTTAATTAAAATTAGCATAAAACATTAACTTTTTAAATACCTACAAGTATGCTCAGAGCACTTTCTTCTTGAAGAATTCCACTACGCCAAACTGCCCGTCAAACTCACACTGTCTGAAACCCAATTTTCTAATATGATATACAAACTCAGAAGGTGTTCCATGGAGAAAACTGGAGATATTTGCTATATCAGGACATTGTTGTCTTTAAAATTACTCCTTTGTACTGATAATTTAAATATAAAGCACCAGCACTGGCCACATTCTGAGTTTTGGCATGTTCACACATGTTTGCAAATACAGGAGCTCCACCTACAGACACAAACTTGCATTTGCTGTTCCTTGTGTGTACATACATATGGCCAACTACCGTAACCAAAGAATTTACAATCAAGACTTGAGTTAAAGTAAATAATCTTCAGAATCATCATTACTCTCGTCCAGCAAATTTTTTTGTGTGTGTGCAGGAAATACTGTCATTATGACACTGATGTAAAGAACTTTGTGACAGGGATAACAAGGTCCCCCAGGTCAGTTTGCATAGGACAGGTAATAATGTAGAACAAATGTGCAGATGTCTTGCTCCTTGAATGTCTCGTTTATTGGGCTATAAAGATGAACACTGACTATGTTGTTTACACACTGGTGCATCAGTAATGATTGTATAATAATACAATACTGTGGGACACTGACAGGAGTCATTCTGCTCTACAGCAGTGGCGGTTTTTGGCATGGGCAAACCGGGCAGTCGCCCGGGGCGGCATTTTTTCATGACATGTGGGGGGGCGGCACAAGCACTTGGAAAGAAAATAATCTGCGCCGCTAAGCGGTTTTCTATTATCTATCATATGTGGCGCCCCTGCTTGATGAGAAGGTGCTGTGCACAGAAGCTGTGTGAGAGTTGGAAAGGGGGGAGCGCTCAGAAGGGGGTCTCGCCGAGGGAGTAATTCAGTGTAGAATCGACACTGACTGCCCAACTCATAAACAGGTAAAAGGAGTGTGTTTCATATACAGTACAGTGTCAGCCACAACATTATGACCACCTGATTAATACTGCGTGCATGGGAGTCAATACAGCAGTTGGTACTCATGTCAGTCTGCAGGTCACTGTGAATCTTCTGTGAATCCATTAGCTTCTATAGTTCCACTGTCAGTGACAGCACAACTGTGTCGACCATTCAGTGAAAAACTTATGTAGGAGTGAAAACTGTGGTCGTGAGGACAAGTTAGAGACAATTTATTAGACACATTCAACATGGTAATTGTAGGCCCACTTCATTTCCTACATGTCGACATTGAATATAAAGACAACTGAAAACACTGAGCAGTGAACATTTTACAATTTGTGTACTGTAATTTGCACAACTACCGTATATAGTGTAAACAGGAGGAGTCACACTCAAAGAACAATGACCCTTTCAGGGAAAACTATCAAAAAAATTTTTGCAAAAGAGTGATCTAAGTTTGATAACAGCAAGGGTACAGCATAAATGTAGTTTAAATATTTTTATTTTCAAAAAGAAGTAATAAAGTATATTTTTTTGAATCGCTTTTTGTCTGGTCCCTCCCCTGAGACCAATTTGCCATGGGAGACCCTATCAGGGGCTAATGCCCCAGACAACACAGCTCCCAGGATCATGGGGACACACAAACCTCTCCACCACGTTAAGGTTGCGATTCCAGGAGAGGTTTTTAATTAGGGTGTTACTAAATTACATCAGATCTGTCAGTACGTGTCTGACAGTCCTGTTATGTAATTCAGTAATGGGTCTGGCTGAATTGATTGTTTCCATTCATCCATCCATTCATTATCTATATAATCATTTTCTAATAACCATAATATAAGATATTGTATATATGATATATAATATAATACTATATAATATAATATAACATAATATATTATATATTTA